TAAAGGCTGTGTGAGACAAACCTATAGACAACAGTATTACTAAATGGGGGAAAACTGAAAGCATTGCCTTTGTAATCTGAAGTGAGCCCAGGGTGTCATTCTTTCCATTCTTATTCAACATCATGTTCAAAGTCTTAGGCAGAGCAATGAAAGAGGAAGAAATAACAAGGGATGCAAATGGGAAAGAGAGAAGAGGAATTACCCTGCACTGAAGTTCACATACCCACACAGAGACACACACACATACATATAACCACATAAAATAAATTTGGGTGAAATGGGCTTGTGAATGTGACCAAAATACACTGTGTGAAATTCTCAAAGGATTAAAAATACTTTTTAAGAGAAAAAAAATGCAGACTTTTACTAAAATATCAATTTTTTCATGCAATAAAAAGTGGTAAGTTAATTCTAAAAAAATAAATCTTCAAAAATGAGTATATTATCAAAAGCTGTCTACAGATTCAATGTAATTCCCATCAAAAGTTCCAAGGACACTATTCATAGAACTAAGAAAAACAATTCTAAAATTCATATGGAAAACCAAAAGGCCCTGACCGTTCATTTCAAGCAATCCTTACCAGAGAGAGCAATTCTGGAGATATGACAAAAGTCCAGTCTCAAATTATAATATAAAGTCATAGTAACACAAATAATAGCACTAGCAATATCACAGAAACAGACATTCAGACCAATGGAAGGACCCAGAAATAAACCACACAGTTATAGCCACCTTATTTTTTTAACAAAGCCATCAAAAATATGTATTGGAGAACAGGGCATTTTTAACAAACAGTATTGGGAAAACTGGATTCCCACATGCAGAAGAATGAAACAAGACCCATATCTCCCACACTGCACAGAATTAAAAAATGATCAGAGATCTTAATGTATTCCTGAAACACTGAAATTGGTAGTGAGAAATAAGCATAGGCAACGATTTTCTGAACAGGCTCCAAAAGCACAGGAAATAATCACAAGAATTGACAAATAAGATTACACGAAATTGAGATGCTTCTACACCTCAAAGAAAACAGCACCATGAGGAAGAAATAGCCTACAGAATAGGAAGATATCTGCCAGCTATACACAAGACAGTTTTAAATCACACACACACACACACACACACACACACACACGTATATGTGTCTATGTATGTGTGTTTAGGACCTCAAACTATAGAGGGCATCGCTAGAGGAGGAAGAGATCTTAAGGAGGTAGGAAATAGAGAGGGTAATGGAGTTTTAAAGAGATCCAAAAATTGAACACCAGAAAACTAAATCATCCAATCGATAAGTGTGCCAATGAACTGAATAGTTACTAAAAGAAGAAATGCAAATGGCAAAAAATACTTAGACAAGTATTTTACATTCTTAGCCATCAGAGAGCTCAAGAAAACAAATCTACAATCCAGAAAACAAATAAACAACAAATGCTGGCAAAGATATGGGGAGAAGCTTTTATACATAGCTAGTGGAAATATAAAGTTGTATTAACACTCTGAAAACAATGTAGAAGGTCCTCAAAACTGAAATTAGAGCTATTGAATGACTCAGCTATACCAACCATAGTATACACCCAAAGGACATTAACTCAACATATCACAGAGATACTTACACATCTATATTTAGAGCCACATTATTCACAATAGTCAGGAAATGGAGTCAGCTTAGATGTCCATCAACAGATGAATGGATAAGAAAATGTAGTAATATACACATGGAATTTTATGAAGCCATAAAGAAAAACTAAATCCTAGCCTTCGCAGGACAATGGATGCAAGTGGAAACCACATTAAGTGAAATTAGTCAATCTCAGGAAGGCAAGTCCTGCATGTTTATTCTCAAATGTGGAACCTAATTTTAAAATTATATATACACATACATGCATGTATATATGTATGTGTATCTGTGTGTTTTTAGATCATGAAACCAGAAAGAGATCCTGTGATGGAGGGACCAGATCTGAAAGAAGATGAGAAATAGAGAGGATGATGGATTGTATGCAAAAGAGAAACAAAAGAAGAAAGTAACTAGTGGAAGACAGAGAACCAGTCTGATGGCAGGAGGGCAGGACGGGGCAGATAGTGGTACAGGAGAAAGACTGAGAACAAAGGATGACACAAACATGTAAAGATGCCATGATGAAACCCAATACTTTGATGTTAACCTAAAAACTAATTTTAAGAAGATAAAAAAAGAGCCAGGCGTGGTGGCACACGCCTTTAATCCCAGCAGAGGCAGGGGGATCTCTGTGAGTTCAAGGCCAGCCTGGTCTACATAGCGAGTTCCAGGACAGCTGGGGCTACAGGGAGACCCTGTCTCAAAAAGACTAAAAAAATAAATAAAAAAATAAAAAACCCCAACAAAGATGGATAGTATCTAAGGAACAGCATCCAGGGTTTACCTATGATTCCCACATGAAAATGCATACAAAATAAATAAATAAAAATAAAAAGGAAAGAGCAGTCTACAACTAGTAAAACCTATTAAATACAGTCAGTATTGCGATGCATAACATTAAAACACATATACTTGTCTAATGTAAGGAATTGTTTGTTTGTAATATAGAAATCTTCATTAAACAACTGGCCTATAAACCAAAGGGCCTTTTGTCAGCATGATTTAAGGAGATCCCACACCATATGTTTATTCCTCTTCTAGGAACTACTACTATTGACATCAACCTGTCAATTAGACAGTAAGTTTATTGAATTTATTCACACACATAAATTAGAATGATACTTTATAGCTGCTAGCATAGTGCCTTTCATACATAAAGTTCATAAAATTATATGGTCATGGAACAATAGTTACAGATTACCCTTTATATGTAATACTGTGAGTCAAAAAGCCATCCTCTGCCTAGGTAGAGCCATATGGAATCTTTGTAAAACGTATTGTTAAGTTTTTGTTTACTGCTTCTGATAGCTCATTTTTGTGGGAAGCGAGCACAGCCAAGCCAGCCAAAGATGGAGCCCTGGCTGGCTGCCTAACCTCGTGCTGTTTACTTCAACTCTTGGCTGATTGCCAAGGCTCGTGAATCCCGCTTGTTTACCCCAACTCTGAAGTATGGTGAGCCCCAAAACAGGTGCTGCCAGCCTGATGATCTTGCTACGTGCCTATGAGCTACACTCTGCCTGGCCACTGCACGTGTGTGAGCCCTGATTGGTACCGGCTGGGGGAGGACTGTTAGAAACGCTATATAAAGAACTGAGGTGTGTAATAGAAGGACCTACGAACAGCATCATAGTGAGAGAGAATGAAGTGAGAGAGAATGAAGTGAGAGAGAATGAAGTGAGAGATACAATAGAACAGAACAGAAGAGAACAGAATAGAACAGAACAGAACAGAACAGAAGCAGCATCATAGTGTATGAGATAATGAAAGAGAGAGAATAAAGGATGCAAGAGAAACAGAAGCTTGAACCTCACCTTGGTGTCTGTGTCGTCTTTCCTGGACTCTGCTGGACAGAGTCCCGGCTTACGACACATTTTATCCTATTGTTCCAGGTCTGTTCTTTATCTATTTATTAATCTTTGCATATTCTTTCACTATTTGACTGTTTTTAGTTGCAACAGCTAAGTGCTCTCCAAAAAAGCAGAATCAGCAACATAGAACTCTGTGACTTCTGAAGAAACAGCAAGAAAAAACATTTCAGCTGTGCTATACTGTCTTCTAAATAGCTCTCTTTTACTTTCTTTTGATTATTTCTTTTTATTTTATTCTTTGAGACAGGGTCTCCCTGTAGCCCCAGCTGAACTTGAACTCACTATGTAGACCTGGCTGACCTCGATCTCACCGAACTCTTCCTGCCTCTGTCTCTTGAGTTCTGGGACTGAAGGCATGTACCACCTTGCATTGGCTATTTTCTTTTTAAAGCAATCGCTTTCCAGTTTCCTCCTGGCGTATAAAACCTTTAGTCTTTATTGTTCATTTTGAGTATTTATTTTCTGTACTTTTGCCTCATTTCTCAAGTGCAGCATATTAGCCATTAACTTCTGAGACTCAGCTCTATTCATTGTCCTATCAAAGAAGAGTGGCTTCCTTCACTTTCAAACTAGACTGCTCTGCTGTTCCAGAGCCTTCCTCAGCTTGTGAATAACCCTAGGGCTTTCTATTGCACCCTCTTGCCTTCCCATCCCCATCCCCCAGCATCTCATTTTACACGACTTTATCTCTTTCTAGAAGAGTCTATACAAACACTTCCCAAAATAGAAAAAGATGAACCACTCTTTGAAGCATCACTGCAGCAGATAAGACTGTAAAAGACTACTAAATCCATTAGCTACATGCCAGAAATTTACAGTTGGAGGTGAAGAGAAAATGTCAAATTTTAGAACTGAATTACCGAAACTGCAAACAATAAATAATCTCTTTCTAAGTCAATGGTTTAACTTGGGAAAGTGGAGATGCTGTCAGTCTGGGAAGATGGGTGAAAAGAACCTGACAGGCCTTCTCTAAGAACTTCAGCTGTTCCCTATACAGGACACACCTGCAGAAGTAACTCTTTGGTGGCTAGATTTAAAATGGATAAGGAAAACTATTGTAAATAATTACTATAATTATTAAAAAACAGGCTCCCACCTAGCCCAGGTTGGTCTCAAATTCACTCTTGTAGCTGAAGATGACCTTGAACTCCTGATCCTCTTGCTTCCTGCTCTCAAGTTCTGGGATTAGAGGTATGTGACACCACACCTGGCTCTTAAATTTAATTTAAAAGCATAGACTGTATTTTTGATTGGAATGGGTGTAATTGGTGGTATTCTCTGTGGCCACATGTCATTTTCAAATTTATATGTCAGATTGCCTTAGATGTCATTTTAACACCTGTAAGATCATTTAATAATCTGAACAGCCCTGTCAGGAAAGTGATACTCTCATTTTACAGATAAGAAAATGAGGTTCAGAAAAGCAAACTAATTCACCTGATCTAACAAACAAGAGACATCAGAGTCGGGGTTTGAACCCAGGTCTCCTGAACATTGACACTAGATTTACCTCTAAAATACTTCCTGCCCAGGCATAAACACCATCTTCAGGCCTGCCTCCGTTCCGGTAAGCCCACACTTGTTTTGTACAAGGCAGTTGGTACAGGCTGTGCTGCTGGACCACTTTGAATTTAGCTGCTATTGGAGAATCTCATCTGGACTACAGTTCTTGGACTTCAGAAAGTTGTCCCTGTCAACGAAAGCCCAGAGAATGCTGCATTTAGAAAACTACTTGGTGTGTCTAAATAATTTGATGCAAGCCAGAAATGTCATATAATTATAAATTATACTGAAAAGATTCTAAGAAGTAAATGTGATGTGTACTGACCTCTCCTGCCATAGGCTAGTGGGAATTTCCTTGCTTCCACAAAGCACTAAAGGTCTTAACAAGTTATTAAGAGTTATGACAGAAAGGTGCTTGTTTTAACAAACGACTTAGCTTTCATTTACAGTTGAGAGACATGAAGAGAGACATTTCTGAACTTCTGTGTACTGTTTCCCCTACCAAGAGATTTCTCTGCAACTAACAGCTGATTCTTTTTTAGAACCGCAGCTTCCTTTCTTTTAACTAAGAAATGCTTAGGGGACTGCAGGTAAATATCAAGTCCTTACTTGCTGGTTTTAGAATACAACAGTCAGCTTCTGCTCTACCAGCTCCTCACCAGGCAGCCTCTCTTCCTACCTCAGGCTTGTCCTAGCTGATGTATTGCATTCATTCCCTGACCAGAGATCTATCCTTCTTGACCTGGCAAAAAGTCATGCCTCTAACAATGTCAATTACTTTGTTCTAATCCCCTTGATTAAGACACACACCTAGGATTTGGACTGAACACATTTCATGAATTTGAGAAGCTCTATTAAAATAGAAACATCATTTAATGAAAAACTTCACAAAGCAAAGAAGTTTTCCCCAGTCTCTGTCCATCATCCTGTCTCAAGAGCTGACCTTCTTTTCTCAACTTTTTAATGTCTGGAAATCTTGACTGATTAACCAAGTGGGCTGAAACCACTTTTTCAATCCCTCACTTCTGAATGTCTCCATTGCAATTAATATTTTGCTCCTTGCTCTTTTTACATATTGAGACATGCCCTCTGGAATGATGAGAAATGAAGCCATAAGGTTCAACTTGACTACACTTAGTATAATTACCTTTGTCCATATCCACTGGGCCCTTTTCTCTTCTTTACTAAGGTCATAATTTCTGGTCTCCATTCAAACAGAGCAGACTTTCACATCAGCAGACTGCCTCCTAGATAGCTACTCTCCAAATGCCAATTCAATACTTGGCATATGCTTATATGGTCATAACTGACTAGATGCTGAGACTATATTAATAGCAAAATTCTAAATTCAACATGGTACTTTTAAACATTAAGGCAGAGCACTTGATGTCTGGAATCTTAAAGAATGTACCTCTGTCTGTCTTATAAGTTCTACGAGCTTTATTTCCTCCTGAGTCTGCTCAGCCTAGCCCCCTTCAACCACAACGGGCTGCATAGGGTTTTTGGTGGGATCCATAGTGGCCGATGCTACTCGCCGCCCTGGAAAGAAATCCTGGGAGGTGTTTCTGATGACAGGCTTTCAGATTTTTTAAATTTATTATTTTTGTTTTATGTGTATGAGTGTATTGCCTACATGTGTGTCAGTGCAAGTGCACCCAGGCTATGCAATGCTCGCAGAGGTCAGAAGGGAGGTTGGATCCCCTGGAACTGGAGTTATGGCCAGTTATCAGCCACCATGTGGGTGCTGGGATTTGAACCCAGGTCCTCTGCAAGAACTGTCAGTGCTCTTTACAGCTGAGCCATCTCTCCAGCCTGGCTTTCAGATTTTAAAGAAATTAGTTTGACTTTCTATGCATAGATTATTCCACCCAGGAGCAGAAGCATAGGCCAAAATTCTAAAAATATCATAAAAGCAAGCCTAAGGTGATGATATTTAACAATATCTCTCAATATGGGAGCTTGGGCTTCCAGATCTCTACAGAGAGAAAAGAAAGAAATCATGCTGACTTCTACCCTGGCTGCTGCCTAGCATCTATGATATGGTTCAGCAGTAATTTAATCAAATAGGATTCATGACCTTATTTAGTCCCCATCATTTCTTCCACTCTTGGAACATATGTTTTGTTCTCTTCACTAATAACAAGCCTTTCCCCCACAATTAGCTTAGCAGCCTGGGGATTAAGTATTTCTAAAATATTATTAACCCAAGAGACAAGAGCCTTTTTTTCCTTCTACCTAATAATACCCCATGAGCACAATTAGTTTCTGACACCTCTCCTGTGCCCTTTATGTTGTTAAGAAGCTATGGTAAGAAAAAAATATTTATTGGAATACTGTATTCTGAAGAGCTGTAAGCATAATTTAGTATGTGTGGTGATTCACTTTTATGCATTCTTTCAAGTAGACCACTTCAGATCATTATAAAAGATTTTAAAAGTCACATTTATGAAATTGTTTTCACTTTATGTTCAAAATATATTCAGCACTGACTCTCCTACTGATCTCTAAACTTAAGTAAAATTCATGCTTTATTTCATATATCCCTTCCAGATGCCTACCCTGAGCCCAGCTGTGGGTCAGGCACCTCGACTGATGTTTTAGTGAGTCTTGGCCTCAAGTTCAGTAGGGAAGGCAAACGTTGAGAAAATGATTAAACCTATCAAGTACAAATGTGCTGACCTGGGAGAGAACAGTTCCTGAAACAGTATGTAACAGAGCCTGGCACAGTGGCATACACCTGTAGCCCAAACTACTAGAGAATATGGGACAGGAAAATAGAAAGCATGAAGCCTGCCTGGGTGAATCCAAGGCCAGCCTGAGCAATTTTAACAAGACTCTTTCTCCAATTTTAAAAAATTAAATTAAATTCAGAAAGATTGAGGAGGGGCTGAATCACCAGTGGTTAAAAGTACTGGCCTGCTCTTGGAAAGGACCAGAGTACAGTTCCCAGCACAACACGGCAGCAAACAACTAGCTGTAACTCCAGTTCCAGGGGGGAACTGATGCCCTCTTCTGGCTCCTGCGGGCAGTGCATGCATCTGGTGCATGTACATATATGCCAGTAAAACACTCATACACATAAATTTTATTTTACTCTAATTTTTTATGTGTATGAGTGTGTCGCCGGCATGTGGGTAAGTGCACCTGTGTCATGCAATGCCTGTGGAGGTCAGAAGAGGGCATCAGATTCCCCTGGAACTGGAGTTACAGACAGTTGTTAGCTGCTCTGTGGGTGCTGGGAATGGAACCTGGGACTTCTGCAAGAGCAGTCAGTGCTCTTAACTGCTGAGCCATCTCTCCAGCCATATAAAATAAATTTTAAAAAACTAAAAAAGACTGAGGCTATGATGTAATACTAATATTAATACTAATATAATGCTAATAATACTTTGCATAACCAAGGCTTGAGTTCAATCCCCAAGACTTAGAAAATGAGAAGAGGGAAGAAAACTGCAACAGAAGCCACTGACCTAGTCTGAAGTGCCACAGAAGGCTTTGAGAAAACAAGATTGATAAACAATAGATCTATTGGCAATTTTGTTGCCAAGATGCTTTAATGTACAGATTTTCAGATTATGGCTACAAACAAAACTCTAGAAATAATTCAGTACTTAGACAGGATAAAGAATTCGTGTCTCATAGTTAAAGTTTATGAAAATAGATACAGCAATAAAAATAAGTGGCAGCAATGCCTTTTCAGGAAACTAGAACTGTATATGCCTAATAGCCTTCATGTGCAATTTATGAATGTGGAAAAAGCATAATTGAATCAATCAGCCAGTAGTTACAGTGACAGGCACTAGGTAATGTGCATTGGAAAAGGCCACAGCGGTTGCTCAATACAACCCCCCCCAAAATACAGTTTTTATCCACCTTCAGTCATAAAATGCAGATAACATTAATTTATGACACATACATTTTATGGATAATAGTTCAACAAACATTATATTTATAATGCATTTCGAACATTAAAATTTTGTTCAGCTAAACAGAGTTCAGTAATAACTTATCATTTACTTTGTTGAGAGCAAAATTGAATACAGGAACCAGGAAAATACACTATGTATTATTTATTTTTGTCAACTTGCTTCTCAAGATTTTAAGCAAATGAATGCATCTGCACTATAATTTTCATGAAGATGTACAATGTCATCACAAAAGATTTTAGTCAGTGGAAAGGTTTTCATAATAAACTATAATTTATGTGTGCAAGAATAAGATAAAGTAAAACCAAGCAAAAGTGTTGTGTATAAATTATTTTTTATTTTCTTATTATATTTTCCATATATTCTATTTTATTTTACATGGGACTGAATGGGGGATAGTGAGGAACTAGCTATTAGGGATGTGCCTCTTCCCTGTTCTGAATGTTTCACTTCAAGGAAATAGAGTCCTACTGATGGCTTCTCTGATCAGAAGTTGGGAGAAATAAGCTAAGGATTGTTGTTGTATTATCTTTTCTCTTAGAAGCTACAGAACACGGGTGCTCTGCTGTTCTTTAATATCAGCATCCTGTTCAAATGGGACACCCAACCTGTTCAAATCTTCTGTTTCTGGAAAAGGATCCTGCTTAGAAGACTCATATAGCTCTCAAACTAAAAGAAGTGTTCCAACATTGCCTTTATATGTAACACAGATGATACTTTTGTCTGATGCTGGGTTTGGGATTTTATTAGTTTTAAGATACCAAGTTAGAAAATACAGTGCCTTCTCAGGAACCCAGGTACCAATATCTATTATGAATTATATATTAACCATGTAGCAAATATTTGTCATTAGCAACTTAATCATATCACTATTATGAAATATTACTAGTATTGTTTTTAAGAGTAGTAATGATCATGCTTACAGAGGAATTATACTTAATACCATGTCTTGTACATATTTTGCTGCAATGACCAATGGTTATAATAATAGGAAATAGTCACTTCAGCAACTTTCACACCTCCCATACATCCTTTTTTGTGCAAATCTCAAGAAGTACAATTAAGCTGAGTGCAGTGGTCCATGTACAATTCCAGCATTTGGGAGGCTACACACACACACACACACACACACACACACACACACACACAGAGAGACAGAGACAGAGACAGAGACAGAGAGACAGACAGAGAGACAGAGAGAGACAGAGAAAGAAAGACAGAGAGAGACACAGAGAGAGAGACAAAGAGAGAGACAGAGAGAGACAGAGAGACAGAGACAGAGAGAGAATGAGTCTGATCTGATAGAGACTGGAGTTATCTAGGTTAAGACTTCATTTTTATTTTTCTTCATATTCCCTACAGCTAGAAAAGGGCTTTCATCAGAGTAAGAATGTTATAATTGTGTATTGAATTCATGTGTAATAGAAGAACACAGCAGTCTTTAGTGAAGAAAAGAATTATCTTCACATTACATTTGAAGAGAAACCACGTCCATGGAGAACTCCATAATGAACACCAAGTAACCAAACACGGACTGTTTCAGTGGTGCTGCGGATGACAGCAGATTGTTTTTGGTAATTATAATAAAAGTTGAAGATATAACATAAAATCAGAATTCAGTAAAGGCAGTTCTGCCGGATGCTATTTTCAGTATGTTGCTTTCTACTGATTTAAGTTAATAAAAAATGAAGCTTGGAAAATTCCCTGAAGTGAATGGATTGAAATTCCACTCAGTTTTTATTTCAATCATTCTACAGCTAGTCCAGGAACATGTTAGAATGGTACAGCATTTCTAATGTAAGGGAGATAGTCACATGAACAGGTAATTTAGATAACATCAGAGGCTATCAGAGGGGAAATTCAGGAATTGATTCAGTAAACCACATTACTCCACACTATCCCAGACTTGAAATGTTGAAGTAGGGGGAAAGCTTTGGGGAATAAGTAGTAATAAACACACACACACACACACACACACACACACACACACACACACACACACATTGAATGACTAGATGAATTCAAGAGCATAAAAGAGAGAACACTTTGAGACAGAAGAAACTGAATAATCCCCAAAGTCCATAGTTGAGAAGTACATGTTATATTTGGGGTGCTAAAAATTCAAATGGGTGGAGTATGGAGAGCAAGAAGATGGGATCTTAGAGAAAATGAGATCATGAATTGCCACAATGAAAAATCCCAACTCTGTACTAAAGATAATAGGGAGCCTTAAAAAGTCTAAAGCCTGGGACAGCATAGCACCTTTGCATTTTTGCATGGCCATTTCAACTCTAGAGTATCACCATTGCTTACTGATGCCTGGGTACATAGCAAGGGGCCTGTCTGAGTGTGCACTCACTCTAATCTTGGTTATCTTTGAGGAAGGATGGTTGAGTGGGCTACCAGTTCTTTTTCATTAGGACTTACTGAAACTGATGGCTACCAGAGCATCCTCCACCCAACCCCTAACTTTCTAATCCCATGTTCATGCTAAAGGGTGCCCTTCTAGAGCCAAGGCAGGTGATAATTGCCATAGTGACAACTAGAGTGAACCACAGAAAGAAGGGAACGAGATGGCCTGTGAATTCTAGGAAAATCTCTGCTCATTTCCAGAAAAGACATGAGCTTTTCTCCCTATTAGTAGTTATTCTCCCCTATCCAGCCTCTTTGCTCTGTGTCTGTAACTTCCCAACTTTCAAGGATTACAAATTTTATTTGTGGTTATTCCCTCTTCTCATATTCTTGGCCAGGAAGGAACATCTTCTTCACCAATGAACTGGTGCTCAGTCTTGTAACAGATTCCACCATTCTGACACAGAAAAAAAAGACCCAGTTGGGTGGAAAACAAAATCAAAAGCAAAAACTGACAACCACAAAATGGATTCAGGAAAACTAGAAGCAGGGAGGGCAGTTAGGAAACTCTCCTAGTAATTCAATGACTAGCTGATGTGCTTGAATTTGGGTAATGATAGTGGAGACTAAGGGGGTTAAAATTCATTTGAGATCAACTTAAATTCAAGGTAACAGGACTTTTTAAATAATTGCTTGGGGAAGGTAAGAGAGGGGGATATATCAAGAATGGTTTCTGTGAGAAAATCCCTCGGTGGATGGTGATAGAACCCACTACTAGTTGAAATGAAGAGGGACTGGCATTAGCATGATGGACAGCTCCAGTTTAGACTTGTCCCTGGAACAGTCAACCAATAACGTCAATATTCATCCATGATTTTCACTTAAAACCAATCATCATTCCTTAGATAGGGAACAGATAATGGCTGCTTCAAAACCAGGCTTTTATTTTACATTTAGAACTACTTGTGTTGTTGTTGAAGCAAAATTCATAGGCTTCTGACACAAGACTATATATACTCAGGAGGTGAAATTCTATTATGCCAATTATAAAGATTGAAATATAATCCTTCCTAGACTAAAGCCCATAGAACGCTGTTGCTCTCCTAAGAATCACATGTATCTCAAGCGCCTGAAAAGCATAAAGTCAGGAACCTAAGATTCTGTGATGAGCATGAAGGAAGAGGACACGTGACACCGAGTGATCACCTTGGCTATGGAAAGCTGTGTGAAAGGAATCCTCAGGACACTGATCCTGACTTTTGAAGATTTTGGTACATCCCTGCTCTAAATGCTACAATGAAAAACATTCCCTAAATAAACCTTTTCCCCCCCAGCAATAAAATAGCAAGGAATAACAGTAAAATTTTGTTTAAGCATACAGGCTTCGTTTTTATTAATTCTAATGTTAGTTCAGGGAGTATTTCAAAAGCAGTAAGAGACACTCTGGCTTTGGTGTATGTACAAGTCATATGGTATTCTTTATAGTATAAAATTATAAATATAAAATCAGCACTAAATAGCTATGCAATCACATTTTATACTTTGCCCAGACTTGTACAATATAACATTTATATAGCATTTACTGGCTAAGCATTTATCAAACAGTAAAAAATAATTATCAATAATTTCTGTTATATTTAGAATTAAACATACTGACCTTTCAACTGTCTCATTTTGTGTTTCATAGTGTCTAAATCAGCCAAATTTTTTTCCTTTTGTAGCCAGTTTTGTTTCTCTAATTTTTTGGCTTTCTGTAAAGCTGAAAAAATGATATTGTGTTGCATTCTTTTATAAACATTAATTTACTATAAACACGTAATTAAAAGGTAAAGGTCATTAAAAGAAATCTCATTTGAAAGATGACAGAGCTTAAGGCATTTCTTTGTGGAACAGAGGGTGTAGAGAAGAACAGCACTCGTTTATTGTATAGATTTACCATATGCAACACCCATATTTCATTTTACGCTTCCATAAACTGTTTAGAGGTGATGAAATCCTGGCTTGGGACCATTCATTTTTAAAACATCCACCTACTGCCTAAAGGGTGCAATTCTTAAAACTGAAAATGTCCAGACAGGTCGTCCTCAGTGTAAATTAATCTCATTTGTTATTTTCTAATGTATACCATTATTCTCCATCTTATATACCAAGGATCTCTTTATCAACTAAATTGGACATTTCTCCATGCAGAATACTCCATTGCAGTAAGAAAAGACAGGCAATTGTGCAAGTACGTGCACATAGCTATACTTGCGCACATATTAATTGACTGACTTGCTTTTTGCATAAATGCAATGATATTATGTTAACACTATACACACTTAATTCCTGTTCTCATGAAAACTTAAAACTTATTTCTCTCTTTACATATTGACTTGAAAGAAACAAAAATAAGAAACTTGCCATTTGGTGGTAGAAATGGTTCACCACAAGATACCCAGAGAGCAATGGGATTTCCAAGGATCTGAGCAAGCAAAGATTTATCGATATCATCCAAACAGTCTGAGTTCAAAGATTTTGGAAACAGTTTGCTTTCCATGTTCATTCTTGAGTTTTCTGGGAAACAGATGATACATTTACCTTGTTCACTTAGAATGCACATGTTTTCTGAATTTATTTGTTCATCCAAAGTATTTTCTTCTGTATTAATGACTTTTATTCATAAACAATTAACACTCAATCTGGAGGCCAATACATAAATTTGCTCAGAAACTTCACAATCAAAGTACTTTAATTAATTATCACAAGTATGTATTTAAATACCTTTCTTATATATCTCTTGGTTCTGAAGGAAATTTGAAGTGCCACATCAATATCTACTCCATAGTAGGAATAATAAAGAAATAAACTCAAAGTGAAGGGGGAATAGAGGAGAATAGACTAAGCACACAGTATAGCAGTGCCCTCATGGTTTAAATGGATTATAAAAGCTCTCTCATTCTGCTGTAGGAAAGAGTAAAGAAAAACAAAAGAAACATTGCCCCATTCACTACTTTGTCAAGTATCCATACATGCTAAATATTATTTTTGTTATTAAATATAATTAAGTTCCATTTTGTTTTTATTTACTAGAAATAAAGCACAATTTAGGCTCTGTGTTTCCTAGTCATCAAAGCAAACAGAACAACACAGTTTCCAGATTTATAGATAAATTATATATAAATTCCTTAGAAGATGAGCTTTCCCTGGTCCTGGGATTTAAGGGTCTTCATAAAGACCTAGTTTGTGATATAGCTAACAGTCTCAGTAACCTGCAGTAGAAATTAACATTCATTGAGAAACTGGGTATTTTACTAACACCCTTATATTCATTTTCTTATGTGGTTTTCATAATGACACTCAAAGGTGGGTCCTCTTACCACTCTTCTGTTTTAAATAAAGCATCTGAGATTCAGTGACAGCTAGACAGAGGCAGAGCTAGGTGACTTTAACGTCCATGTTTTTTCATGCCTAGGTGTGTGCGCCTGCAAATGTGTGTGTACGTATATGAATGCATATGGGGTGCGCAGGGATCTCAGGGCGCCAGCTGCTAGCGTGACGCCAGTCCCCTGTGCGCACCGGGAAGGCGGCGGGTCCCGCAGTGCATTGCTGGCGGGCCCCTGCTTCTCCGCTGCTTCTCCGCTGTGAGTCCCTCTGCTACCGGGGCTGGCCCAGCCGAGTTCCGCCCTAATTTCACCCATGCACTTCCTCGAGATGCGAAATCCACCGGCCGCTGGATCACCTAGGAAGGTGCAAGGCGGCTAAAGCTAGGGTTCCGTGAGTCGATGACGGAAGGAAAGCGCCCCCAGGGGAGGCTGGATCATAGGCAATAAGACACGGGACTCAGCTTAGTCCATGTTACAGCTCTTTATTCTCCTGACTCTGCTCGGCTCCAAGTCTTAGTAATCCAGCTCCAGCTCCAATTATTGAGGAAAAACCAGGACACTTATACCATGGGGGGGTAGTAAAAACCTTAGCTGATAGCTACTTTTAGGATGCCCCATTTACATGTGGAGGTAAGCTCTTGCCAGGCTGCCAGACTGCCTGAAAAATCACACAGGAAAGCCTGGCATTTCCAGAGCCGGAGGCTATGTTTTTGTGGTGGCTACTTCAAAAGACAAGTCAGGAAGATGCCAGGAAAGCACCCTGCTGAAAAAGGAGTCTCTGCATTTGAGCCGAGCCCATGGGCTATCTGGACATGGAGAAACTGCTACTTTACACAGCAAGAGTCCCCAACAAAGACATTCACAGATACCATGGCATGCACACTCAGAGGAATATGCAGGAAAACAAGGAAGCTTAATGCAATGCAGGATTCCTTAAACCCACCTCCTCCCAGGCTGGCAAATACTAACTAGTCATTCCTAGGTGAGGAGGAAGAGGCCCAAAGATGATTTTCAGGTTGCATTGAAAATCTGGAAGTTAATTAATTCCAATTGCGTAGTAAATTTACCTATAATTTTACCCATATGATTCATATTAGATAGCAATGCGTTCCTTGTATTATCTTAATTTTGGTTCAAAAATCACATTTAGATATTTCCTGCTTCAGAAATATCTGAATCTGTGGCATCCACTCACCCTCCTTCACGATACTGCCCACAGTGCCTACTCATGTCCGCTTCTTCTTCAGACATTCGGGCTTGGCTACAGATGGACATGAAGTGATAGGAACAACAGAAAGGAGACACTTATTCTTCATTGGTAGTGCTGTTATCAAAATTGTGACGCTGAGGTTTTAAGAGACTGCTCACAGGTGACTGTGCAGTAGGAGGGGGGAATGACTGGCACTTGAATCTAGCACGCAGTTCCTTTCCAAGAGGAGTTTCTCGCAGTAAAATCTTCTGTGTTGTGCTCCGGTGTCCAGGTGGACCCACTGTCCCTGCACTGATTTCCAATTTGGAGACAGGTACCTGTGAGCAGCTTTCTTAGTCTTTGGTGGATATGGGGAATGGAAATAAGAGGTAGTAAGACTACAGCACCATGTCTGAGGTAGCCCCTTTATACTCTAGTCAGTTTCTGAGCCTTTGCTAATACAGTCCTCTCTGCTTGGAAGACTTTCAATCCTTCCAATCTTCCACCCAAGGCTATCCCGTTTTATCGTTAGTATTCAACTCAGACATCTTGAAAGAGTCATTGACTCCTAGTAGAGTAGGCTGCCTTTCCTGTGCTATGATGCTAGCACTCACCTGCCTGTAGTTGTTCTGTGGTTTATGTTTTTAAGTGCATATTTCTTGGACCCAGACAATAGGATAATATGTCTTATTTATGTTGGTGTGGTATAAAACTGATTTGTAGATTTTTTCCACGTGATCTGGTGTGGCTCTGGATGTTGTCTCCGCCTCTTTCTCTTTTTCGTCTCTGACAGGGTCATGTGAGCCATCTTCTTCATGGGCAGGGAGGTGTCGGACATTTCTAGCTGGAACCCAGATAGGCTTTGGTTGATCCTGTGGGAAAAAACAAGCAAAACCTCTCCCTGGTCAACAATGGATCTTGTCCTTTCCAGAGTCCATCAAAGGGGTCCCTCCATCTAACCATGATGGGTGGTACTGGGTGTGTCTGGGACAAGTGTCAGGTGATGGGGGGAGCATCAGTCCCTCTATATACATTAAGTACATTAAGGGTAAACAAAGCTAATGTTAATTGAATATTGGGAGAATATGTTGTTTGAGCCTGTCTTTTTAGTTGGTCTTTTAAGGTTTTATGTGACCTTTCCACAATGGCTTGTCCTTGTGGGTTGTATGGGATGCCAGTGTGATGGGTGATTTTCCAGGCTTCACAAAATTTTTAAAACGGGGAGCTGGTAAATGCTGGGCCATTATCTGTCTTTAGTTGTGCAGGGAGGCCCATGATGGCAAAGGATGAGAGCATGTGATTTATTAATTTTTTTGAACTTTCACCAGTTTGGGCAGTAGCCCAAAGGAAGTGGGAGTAAGTGTCTACAGTTACAAATATGAATTTTTGTCTGCCGAATTGGGGGACATGGGTTACATCAATTTGCCAGAGGGCATTGGATTTTAGTCCTCTAGGATTGGTGCCCATTTTTTGCATAGCAGGGGTATCTATTATTGATGCACAAGAAGAGCAGGTTCTAACAATGCGTTTAAGTTGCTTGAGGGGAATGTGGGGGAATCTGTGATGGAGCCCTTGCAAATTAATATGGGTGGCATGGTGGAGGTTTTGGGCATCTGTTACACTGGCAGGGAAAGTTCCAGCGGTGGCTATTTTATCTGCTATGGCATTTCCTTCAGTAAGAGGTCCTGGGAGAGAGTCTTTTTTGCATCTGGGTTTAGATACCATCTGGAGGCTGGATTTTTGTCTCCCTTTAAGAGATCAAAGAGTGGCTGTAATTGACTTGTGGGGATGGAAAGCCAGGGCCTTAGCCAATTAATATTGCCTAGAAAACTCTGAAGTGAATTAAGGGTGAGTTGATGGGGGACATCCAGGTCAGGTTTGAGGGGCCTAACAGTAGTGGGCGCTATTTCAGTCCCCAGGAAGGTAATGGGGGGGACTGATTGTATTTTATTTGTTGCTATTACAAAACCTTTTGTCTCTAAGGTGTTTATCATAGCATCTTTTAGGTCTTCTAGAGAGGAATCCTCATCTTGCCAGACCAAGAGGTCATCCATGTAATGATAAACATGTAGCCCCTTTTTTAAGAGGGGTGCTAGTGCATTTGCAACAGCCTCCTGGCATATTGTAGGACTATTTGCCATACCCTGTGGCAGAACTTGCCATTCATATTGATCAGCTGGACCAGAATTGTTAATTTTTGGAACTGAGAAGGCAAAATGTCGGCAATCATTACTGTGTAAATGGATGGAAAGAAAGCAGTCTTTTATATCTAGGACTAACAGGGGAGTATTAAGGGGGATGACAGAGA